AGGGGGGGGGGGTTTACGTTGCAAACGACAAATCGCTCAATTCATGAAAACTATACAAACCACTTTCGACCAATAGGAAAATTCCGTTTTTTATTTAATTTTAATAAATAAGGTTATGATGGTCATTTCATCGTATATTAATTAATATTTGAAGGTAATAACTATTGTTAATTATGGAAATGTATTAATGGAAACATTTCATATGGAATGAGGTAAATATTTTTTCTTAATATAATTTTTTTACCTTTACATTTTTTTATTATTTTATTAAATTATATACTTATTAAAATATGAATTGTAAAAGCAGTAGAATATGAAATCTGTGTTCGTTTCATTTCTTGACACAGTTTCATTTCTTGATTTAATAAAACAGTTTCATTAACGGTTATTGAAGCAAAAAATAATGAAACAATTTCATTTCTTGATTTAATGAAACAAAATCTTTGATTTAGTATTCAAAATGTGTCATTATTTTTTGTTGATTATAGTATGTTTTATGTTTTATAATTTATTAGGATATACCTAATTTATTGTAGGTGACAAGAAATGAAACTGTTTCAATCTTTATAGAACGAACTCAAGTGATTCTTTATCACCTACAATGAAAGACGGACCGATTGTCATGTAGTGTTGAACGATAATTGCAAACTGTTTCATTAACGGTCATTGAATTAGTATTGGACTATTAATAATTTATAATCAAAATAATTTTAAAACAAGGAAAATCCTAATAAACGATAAAACATATAAAGAATGAAACATTTTAAAAAATCTAATGAAACATTTTGAAAACTGAACATTTTTTTAATTTAATGAACGTTTTTCATGTATAAAACGTTCCGAAATATTAATAAATTAAATTTATTAGTGAAATTGTGTTCATGGTCATTATTGAACATGACATTCGTTTCATTACTCAAAGTACATATATTTTTTTAATGAAACGAACACAGATTTTATATTCTACTGTTTTTATAATTCATATTTTAATAAATATAATTTAATAAAATAATAAAAAATATTAATGATAAAAAAAATTATATTAAGAATTTTTTTTATCTTTTTTTATAATAAATGTTTTCATTAATATATTTCCATAATTAATAGTAATTATTAGGATATACCTAATTTATTGTTAAAGATTTAATAAATTTGTTTTTTAATTAAAAATTAAATTTTTTTATTTTAATATGAAACCCATTTAATATTGACCATTGATGATAAAAATGGATGAATGAGATTGGTTTGTAAGGTTTTTTTTTACGATTCATCCCTACTATATATATATCCCTAAATTAAAATGAAGAGTTTATACCGTCTCTCCTTCGTCTTCCTTTTGGCCTTCAATTTCACAAAATTTCTTGAATCTCTTTACACCGTCGCCGGCGAGGCTCTTCTTTTTCCGATCTTCATATCTCACTTATTTTCGAGGTGCTTGGATCAACCGAACAGTATACGAATCTATGCCATGGAAGATGGAGGATTTTATACAGAGCTGTTTTCTTTTCACAAACCTAGAAAAGATAAGGTCCCATGGCTCTGATCTTGCTCTAATTGTTGGAATCGGTGGTCTCGGAATTATTTTTCAAATTATAATCAGGTAAAACTAATTCCTTCCATCTATTTTTCAATTTAGTTCACATTCACAGCTAGGGTTTATGTTGCAACTCCATATTATTGCTTTCTTTTTCACTCAAATTAGACTGATATTTGGGGGATTTATAACAAATCATTGCTAAAATACAACATTTTTATACTCGTATCTAAACTTTTACTTGTTAAATATTTGAGGGTTCTTTTAATTCATATACTGGTGCATATGGGGGTTGGTTTCATATAGTTGCATATGGATATATAGAATCACACTCAGGTTATGTGTATATGGTTATTGAAAAGTGGGGTTCTTTTTATATGGGTATATACATAAAGATGAGGATTAATCATTATAATGACCGCATTGAAGTGGTATATATATCTGATTTCACTACTTCTAAAAGATTTGCTAAGAGAATTTCCATAATCTTTCATTCACACAACCTAATTTCTTGCTTTTCAAGCTAAATTTTTTCCGTTAAAATACTATATATTTGCCTTTGTTTAATGAAGTTAGCCTTGAACAAATTGATACATAATCTTAGAAGAGTTATATCTTGTTTGGATATTAAAGTTGTTAAAAGACTTTAGGTAAGTGCTTGCGTGTTTCATTTAATGTTCAGGTTATACTCACTCACATACACTTGTATAGTGACACACTAAAAGAACAGGTGTTGATCCTCAATGAAGTTGGCCGTGATAATATCACACATAATCTATTGAACGCATGTGTGTGTGTATATATAATATACATGCGTTGATCATTAATGTAGTATATTTAATAGTTATTAACCATTGTTTTATTCTTTAGTAGATGGACTTTTATGCGACACTGGTTGGAGTGTTGTATTCTACATCTGCGGTGGCATTGTTCGTCTGTATTAGACATTGTCTTAGGGTAGAGGGGAAGACGTGGAGGACCTTGAAAAATGTCCTCACGAGGATGCTTTGCATCCTTGCATTTTCATATATATCATCCTTCTGTTGATGATCTTTCCCATGTTGAAAAGTGTTCACATCATAACGCGTTCGATAAACACAAACTGCCGCCCAAACGCAAACCATGTGTTTTTGTGAAGTTCTATTTTGATGAGAACTTGTGTGCAATGTCCACTAGTTGATCATAACGAGTTTTATAAATACAAGCTGCCATCCAAACCCAAGAAAATGATGAAATCATCGGTGTATGTTTCGGGTACTGTTATTTTGGGGTTTTATTTGGTGTATGTTTATTATATGTAATTTGTAACATAAGTTGTGTTTTTGCTTTTTTATGTTTTCTGCAAACACGATTTCATTTAGAATTGTTTAACTTTTTGTATGCAAAAGACTACTTCCTTGATGACATACATTGTGGTCGTATATTTAGTTGTAACAGCCACTTATTTGATGTACATAACATCATTGCTTTTGAAGTTTTTGAAGGTTGAAAAGTTATCTAGACGTGTTCTTTCTGTCACACGGTCAGACGTTTTTTAAGCATGAAACGTCATCTTGACGTGTTCCTTCCTATGGTCCACCAGACGTTGAAGGTCAAACCACTTCCAAAAAACACAAGTAACCTAATCCGATATCTGAATTTTATTATGGCCCTCCGATATTAGAATGTCCTTCTGTAGGCTCTCTCAAAAGCTCTTCCAAGGGCTCTTCTTCTCAATGTTCTTCTTTTGCTCTTCGCTTGCGACCCCTCCTCAATGTTCTTCATTTGCTTCTTGGCTTGCGATGTATGTGGACCTCATTCCACTTGATCATGATAAATTATGGGAAAGTTATCGTAAGTCTATGGGTAGTATGTGGTGATTTCGTTTTAGATTTAAAAGAAGACACTTGTGCTTTCAGTAATGTATGGTCTTTAATCGGTACCGATTTTGTATGGTCTTCTATAAAGAATTTCATTAAAAAAGTATCATTAGTGTATGATTTAAGCAAATTTTAGGGCAATGAATGATCAGTCAAAACCTCGGCGATATACAACCTGATGGAGAAAGTGGTCATCAGCAGATATACGAGCTGGAGAGAACTCTGAGAAGTGTTCATCAGTCGATATACTAACTAATGGACAAAGTGATCATTATATGCCAACTAATGACCGCTTCATTAAATACTTGCACAAATAATTATATCAAATATAAATTGTTTTTGTGTGAATTCAATGATCGCTTCCCATCTTTCTCTTAGGTGAATTGAATGTGGATTCTTTTGTCTCGTATGCATTTAAGTGCCAACACAATTTTGAACACTATGGTTGCTACTCTAATAGGCAATATTGGATATGTTCATGTTTGTCATCAATGGATGTACCATTGAACATGGCAGTTCTCTTCTTGGTTCATATTTATATGCAAAGAATTTTTCTCTTTTGAAAAGATTCACGGGGAGCAAAGGAATGGGAGGTATAATCAACTACTACAATGGCGAGTTTCATAAATCTGGGTGGTCTATTGCAGATGGTCAATATGGCGAAAGGAGAAGATAAAAGGCCCTAAATGCAAGAAAGGTTTTAATCTGGTGGCGCCATCAAGAGCTTATATCCCGTTTATCTTCTAATGTAACAAATGAAGTCAAAGATCGTTTGATCAAGGTATTTCTCTAAGAATCTCTACTTTCGTTGCTACTATTTGCTCTACAATCATATATCTAATTCATGTTTTTCAGTTTCTTGCATTTTCCTCGAACTTGTGATATCCGCAATCATGTCGTAGAGATGTGTTACTTTCGATTGTTTCATGATTTAGGGGTTGTTTGAAGAGTCACCGTTGTTATAGTTTTCGTAAAGGCAAATTGATTTTTTTTCTATGACATGAACCCTTTGAGCTACTGATTTTGTGGACATTTAATTCATATAAATGTGCATATGGGGGGTTGGTTTCATATAGTTGTATATGGATATATATAGAATCACACTCGGTTATATGTATATGGTTATTGAAAAGTGGGGTTCTTTTTATGTGGATATATATGCATATAGATTAGGATTAATCATGATAATTGAAGTGGGATATAGATCTGATTTCGCTACTTCTAAAAGAATTTGCCAAAAAGACATTTTTTAGTACAACTTGTGAAAAATATAATTTATACGAGCTATATGGATAAAGTCTCCACTATATAAGCCTTTTTCAAACAATGACCCCACTCTCTCTTTCTAAAACTCGAGTCTTTCTTAACGACTAGGCTCGTATCATTACGTGTCAAGTTATCAATTTTTGCTAGTTTTGTACCAATGAAGAATAGATTACGCCTGTTACAACACCAAATTAAAGGCATTTTTCTTAATTTGCGAGTTTGGTAAGATATGCTTAAATGCAAAGTTTTCCAATATTTTGTGTACTTCATATCTTGCGAAACCCTAATTTCTTACTTTGCAATCTACAGTTTTTTGCTTTTAATACAATATATTTTCCTTCGCTTGATGCATAATCCATGTTGCTTGTTTGTTTGGAATATATAATAGTTCTAGCTCGCAAAATATGAAATCCATTACATGAATTACTTTAGACCCAAATCTATTTACTTATGTTAGCTACTTCTTTTTATCGTTTATGATCATTAATGAAGTTGGCCTTGTAGAGTGGGGTTGTGCAAAACCCGATCCTACTCGACCGAAGAAAACCGAACGTACCCGATCCATATGCCCCAAACTAATCCAAGGTCCGACATCCGACTTTTATATCGGGTTAGACGGATCGGTTAGGATCTCCTGATCCATCCCCCAAACCCGTCCGAAACCCGAAGAAACCCAAAGGACGCTTCTTAAACCACTCCTCTCTCCGTCTCTTGACTGCCATCGAATTGAATCATCTTGACTGCCATCGAATCGAATCAGTCCTCTCTCCGTCTCTCACCGATACCTTAAACCTAATTGACTTAGTCCTCTACTTCTTTCTCGTCGATGACGGCCAGAACAAGAATGCAGAAGCAGACTAGCGGAGGCTACGTGGGGAGCCCATCGAATCGAATCAATGAATCCTCTCTCATCGATACCTTAAACCTAATCGGTGCTCTCTTTTTACTAGCCCCTAATTCATTCCCTTTGACCCTTTGAGTGCCTAACAAACAACCCAGTCACATGCATAATATTTATAAAATCAAAAACTACTACAACTCTAAATACAATATTTTGATGAATTGCTACATTTTTCTTGTTAAAAGCAAACTCTGTTACTTCAACACCATTGGTGAAATCCTGGACACCTTCAATTCAAAGACCTCTATGAACACCCCAATGAACAAACAATCCATTTGACCTCCAATGGTTTAAGAGGCTTTTTCTTTAACAAACAAACCCCTCATGTGATGGATTCAGATGTGGGATTCCATTCAGCCCCTTTAAGTGCTTAACAAACAACACCCTGTGTTGATGTTTGTTCCAATAAATTGATGTAAGTACTTCTCTAGCTTAGGTGGAGGGCTGCCATCAGTCTCGTTAAATTAATATGTTCAGTTTTCATGTATTGTTCTCTATATATAGTCATGCATATTTTCTTCACACCAATCTTCTAACTAGGAAAAGAGAAGACAAAGAAAAGTGTAAACTATGATTGATGTTTGATTAAAGAGGTGCAGTCCTGGAATTAGGGGTGTAAATGAGACGAGACAACTCACGAGCTACTCGAGATCGACTCGGTCAAAACTTGGTCAAAACTTGGTCAACACTTGACTCGAATAGCCTCGACTCGACATACTAACGAGTTGAGCCGAGCTATCTAATACTCGACTCGATAAGCTCGCGAGATACTCGAATATATTTTTTATATAACTAATTTTATAATATAGTTTATAAAATATACAATATAAAAAATTAATAACAATTCATTAATATTATAATATAGTTTATAATTTTAATGTGATTTCTTTTAATTAGTTTATAAAATATACTGCTCATTTAGTATCTTACCCTTTTTCATCGTTCAGGTTAGATTTCAACTTAGATTTGGTTTTTGACTTCCCTTCGTCGCATACTCGCATCCTACTCCTCTGACCTCTCACTCCCTTATCGCTCCCGCCTGGTCGCTATCGAGTTCGCGCCCTCGTCGGGGTCGTCGCTCCCCACCCTCTTCGGCGGGGTCGCCGCCATCGATTTCACTTCTCCTCCATCATCGCTCGACCTTCCTCCCTCCTCAGCTGCTCGTCGCACCTTCTTAACTCCTCCCTCCACATCTGCGAGGTACAAGGTCTGATGATGTTTTCTCTACTAACAACATCTAATGGGAACAAATATGTGTTTAAAGAATTTGATTCCTTTTTGGTTACTGTGTTTGGTAATTTAATTACTTGTTTGATTTATGTGTTTAAAGAATTTGATTCCTTTTTGGTTACTGTGTTTGGTAATTTAATTACTTGTTTGATTTATGTGTTTAAAGAATTTGATTCCTTTTTGGTTACTGTGTTTGGTAATTTAATTACTTGTTTGATTTATGTGTTTAAAGAATTTGATTCCTTTTTGGTTACTGTGTTTGGTAATTTAATTACTTGTTTGATTTATGTGTTTAAAGAATTTGATTCCTTTGGTTACTGTGTTTGGTAATTTAATTACTTGTTTGATTTATGTGTTTAAAGAATTTGATTCCTTTTTGGTTACTTGTTTTTAGTTGGAATCTCATTAAGGCTACTCGTTTGGTCAGTCTTGAACCCTTGATTCTAGTGAGGTTGGGTTATACAGGGACCAAAGGCCCTTTCGATACCAATCACATTTTAGTTATGGAAGAAAAGTAACCTTAAGGGTTGTCGCCTGTCGGGAACATTCAGTTTCTTTAAAAAATTTATTCCTTGATATGGGGAAACTTGACTTGATTACATATCTTGCACTTGAATCGCTATGTTTTAGAAGATGGCAAACTGAAAGAAAACCTTCAAAGCCTACACCCGGTTGCACTTGTTTACGACAAAACATATGCAGAATTAATATCTCAGTGTTAACATGAAATACTTGTACCTTGGATCAAATTCGTGAACTTCAAAAAGCTCACCCCCAAATACATCTGTCCAATTGCAAAATTAATAGTTTTTCTATAAACCAAGTCATGATTAGAAGTGAATGTTTATGCAATGGTTCAGGACCTCAATCTGTAGTTGCTCTTTTGTTTCATTTTCATTACGAATTCGGTCTTTTACCCTAACTTTGTTAAATTTTCTCTGTTTAACGAAGTAATTTAATGATCGTTGACCAAACATTTACAATTCTAGAGATGTCTAGTGAACCACAAGTATCTTCCAGGGCAGTTGGTGTTTCAAATGAAGATTTGCATGTGATTGTTGATGAAGGAGGATCAAATGAAAGGGAGAACGGGTCCATGGAGGTTAATGAAGAGCCTTGTGAACCCCCYCTTARCACMACAAATAAAGAAGYTGAGACTGATAATAATCCTTTTCATAACTCTAAAAGACCAAGAAGATCAAAAGTATGGGATGAATTTTTTGATCCTGAAATGATAAAAAATCAATGGAAAGTAAGGTGCAAGTATTGTAAAACTCCCTTTTCTCTTTTGAAATCTAAGAGCACTACCCATATGCACCGACATTTGGAATCTTGTGTTATGAAAGCGAAACACGTGAGACAACAAAAATTGATTAATTTTTTGCCATCTGATTCAAGCACCGGTACAAATCAATCTGGATTTGTTAGTGCTTTACATAATGGTAAACTTGACATATTAAAGATGAGAGAGGGGATAGCCCATTGGGTCACTATGCATGAGCATCCTTTTAGGGTGCGTTTGGTTTGCAGGAATGGAGTGGAATTGGAGGGATTTGGATTTAAAATCCATTTCATTCTTGTGTTTGGTTTGTAGGATTGATAAAATTTAAAATCCTGGGATTCATTAACAATCATGTGACCGGTGGATTTTAGAATCCTCTGAAAGGACACGGGTTTTGTAAAATCCATTCTCGTGGGATTCCAGGTCTCGTCTCCATCGTCTCCATCGCATCCTCTCTTGCCCTAGGTCTCGTCTCCATTGCATCCTCTCTTGCCCTAGGTCTCGTCTCCATTGCATCCTCTCTTGCCCTAGGTCTCGTCTCCATTGCATCCTCCAAATCTTGCCCTAGGTCTCGTCTCCATCGCATCCTCCATTTTCATCCCTGACCATCTCCTCCAGCCTCCAACATCGCTGTCTCCTCCAACAGCGCTGTCTCCGGCTTTCTCCCACGGTCGCTTTCTCCCAGGTAATTTCTACTTACTTCGATTTCTGTTACGACTTCACAATACGATTAATGCTCCGATTTGTACTTCGATTTCTGCATATTCTGTTTCGATTTGTACATCAAACACATATTCCATTCCCTCCAATAGTGAAAAGAGTTGCAAATGATAGATCTTCTGACATGTTTAACCTGCATACCTGAATACTTTGCATACTCTGAGCATCTGAAAAGTCAATTTATCTATGGTATTTGTCTCCTGTTCCGATTTAGTTCATATGCTGTTCCGTTTAATGTTTCGATTTGTATTTCATATTCTGTTCCGATTTTTAATTGCTATACATCAGTGGGATAACATGCATTTCAACCATAAGGCTGCTGTTAATGATCAAAACAAAAGGGTAGTTGTTGTTGTGCTGATGCTGTTAACTTGCATTTCTTTTTCCCTTGTTTGCACCAGATGAAGGGGTGTTTTTATATGTTTTTCATGCTCACAACATCTAAATTTGATATACAAGAGACCCTTGCATCATGTGGATGGTTGTTTGATCCAAATGCTTACTGCTTAATTGTTTTCACATTGTGCCTCATCAATTCTTAGTCAAGTTGGAATGCATGGTCTAATAATGGCAACAAAATAGGAGGAATTTCATGGATCAAACATTTTCAATAGTTTATGATGATGGCATTGGGAAAATAGGTAACGTAAGATTAAAAAATAGGAAGAATTTTTTGGTTGAAGTAGGAAGACCATTAAATTTATATTGCCGTTTATGTTAAAGTTTGCACACAACATAATAAGATACTCAAGAGGGTATATGTTTAACAATTTAGCATCAAGAGTATATGTTTAACAATTTGGGAAATTGGACAGGAAATGGATCGCTTTAGTTTAAGAAGACGTTTACATAGGCAAAGGAGACGAGTCATTGGAATGGTTTAAGATAGTTGTCAATGTTGTTCTATTCAATGTTGTCTCCCTTTGGATGACYATGGTTAAAAGACAAAGGGATGAACAACAAATTGGATACTATTATTCAAATGTGGACCGATCCTCAATAATGCATAGGTATATTTATGAGAGTCGTATCTTCAGGTACATGCTCAAAAGAACTTGCTATTTGTATTTGCATAATATATAATCATAGTTATATGTATATTTAATAATTTCTATTATGAAATAGGTCCATAAAGGGGCGGGAAAATGGAAGAACAAACCATATCCTTTTTATGAGGATCTTTGTATTGTATTCGGAAAAGATCGTGCCACGGGAATGTTCAAGGTGGGAATGCAACTAGCAATGTTCAAGGTAGGAATGCAAATATGCAATCTGAAGAAACTTCAACTGCGCGTCGTAAGAAGAGAAAACGTCAAGTAGATCCCATGGCTGACTGATTTAGTAATGCGGTTACTAAACTTGGAGAAACTTTGGAGAAAATGGCGAACAAACTTAGCAGGGGTGTAGAACGAGAAGACGAACTTGATAAGAAACGTTCGATGATCACTCTTGAGATATTAAAAATGCATACGTTGGCCCAACGGGAGAAGTATAAAGCAATTTCATTGATAAGAGACGATCCTGAAAAGGTGAACACGTTTTGGGATTTCCAAGAAGCGGATAGGGAAGGTTATGTCGATTGGGTTATAAATGGATGAAAATTTTGGTGGGTAAATATGTGGTTTTGAAAGAACAAGTTGGTAGTTAAATGTGGGTAA